AGATCCCGGATAACTCCCAAAACAAAGACGAAACCTATCACCATTGAAATAATAAAGCGGTTTATAGACAATGACGCAACAGACAACTCATCCTTGATAGAGCTACGTGTAGCCACTTCATGTGCAATTGGATTTGCTGGGTTCATGTGATTCAATGAACTGTCAAACATTAAACCGATACATATCTCTTTTGATAAGCACTTTATAGTAATTTTCATTCCAAATAGTAAGACAGACATTTTCCGAGAAGGTAACAAGATTTACATCGCTAGAACGGGGACCAAATATTGCCCTGTAGCATTACTAAAATGCTACATAGAGTCAGAAAATATTCCTAGAATAATTGAATTACATTTGTTCCGTAGAATAACGAAAACTGTCTTACACAAGGTGTAGAGAAACGTTGAAGGTCTGCTATATTTCCTTAGATTACAATCATAAAGACTAAGCTCTACATAGCTTAAGATCAGGCGGTATCACAGCAGCTATACGATCAAATATCCCTATTTCAGAAAGACTATTAAAACTCCATGGTCGTTGGAAAAGCGATACTGCAAAAGACATGTATGCCCGAGAGCCTGTCCAAAGTAGACGTAGAATAGCTAAAAATTTAGGATTGTTAATCATCCATTGTCATCTAGTATTAGTGACGTTAAAATTCAATTCAATTCAATTCAATTCAATTGTTATTTTTACACACATATATACTTATTTTACAAGGAATATTATTAATGGATTAAAGATAATTATGGGGAATTACATGTTTGTTATTGGAGAAAGTGTGCAGTGGCTAAAGGAGCTTAGCTTTCGAGTTAGCCACTGCCTGTTGAAAGCGAGCTTAGGGCTCTTATTAAATACAATACAAACATTAGATTTAACAAAAATAATCACGATATATATTATAAATTTCTTCAGGAATCATAAATATAAATATATTAAAAAGCTATTAATCATTTATCAATATCTGTTTATTATTGCTAATAAAATCAGAATTATGGTCAACA